CTACAAAGACCAACCAGGATAAGACCGGAACTGTTACTTACTTTTCAGCTTCTGCAAATGCCTCTAAAACTGTTGCATTAGAGAAAATCTGCTCAGCTATCTTCTTTTCTTTCATAAGGCACAACTGAGTGAAGTGTTCCAAGTGTGCAAGCACCTGAAACACCTTTTAAGAACTGAAGATTGGTAGAAGCTACACCAAACCTGTTCCATGGACAGCTTCTGAGGGCTTTTCTTCGATGAGCCTTTGCTGCTTCCACCCATATGCAAATCTCCAGCGGCCATCTGCTTTTTCAGCAAATTTCCCACATTATCGGACACTCGTTTGCATGTAGACGGGTCTTCGATAAGAATCTAGGTAACAGGATATTCGTACAAATAATATTAAAGATAAATAAACAAACATACCTTGATGCAGTCAACGGTGAACGTATCATCGGCAGAAGGAGCTCGGGAGAACAGCGCTCGCAGCATGTTCATATTAGGATCTCGATCTAAAATAATGCCTTTGATTGAAAAAGCTGATGATAAAAAGAACCACTGTAAACTCTAACCTGATCTACTGCCCTTACCTGCTCGCTTCAACATTAGAAGTACGTTGGCTGCGGCCTCCGCATGCTCCGACGACTTCAACTTAGGAAGAAGCTGAATCAACCATTCGCCCGGAATTCCTTCGGCGTGTACTGAAGGCAAACATATGACATGGCCTAAGTAAGACAGGTGAGTGTGGACAACTGTACCCAAATGCCAAAAAGCCCATTGAGCTGTAGTGGGCCAGTCCAGAGATGCTGCGACTATTTGAGCAAAGGAGTCCTTCCGAAAAAGTGTTACATTTTCCCTGAAGCAAATGTACTATAGTGATATCTACTGTGCGTATAGAAACAAGAGAAAAAGTATCATTACTAACGATTCTTGGTATAAATTAGGCAAAAAGTTTAAGAGTAAATTTGGGGAAAGCAAGAAAAGCTCAACTATAAACAAAAAATGAGATCGAAAAAGAGTCAAAGAATGATTAATACTATTTACCTAACAATCTCTCCAATTAACTGCATGATTTGCTTAGCATCGATATGCGAACATACAACATTGAACACCTGAAAGAATTCTATGTTGAAAAGCATCTACAACATCGTGTTGTTGTAGATGATGTGGATCGTTCTCAATGCAAACATACAGAAGGACTAGCACCAGCTTCTACGTCAAGTTTTTGGAACACATATGGGACGAGGAACGCGAACAGTCGGTCGTCATCTATGGCACATTGCTGAAATTTGAGCTTAGGAATCAGCAAATCTCCTTGAGAACTGCAAGATTTGGGTTGGAGACCGTGGTTACCTGCAGGTCTGCTGTTAATAAGGTCTCGATGTCCTCTTCTCTTGCACGTGCTACATCACGATAGCATGATATACACTCACTACTTAGGCCATCATTCGCCTAAAAAATGATGTTAATAAAGCATTACAGTGCTACATCAACATTTGAACTTTGAAAGAGTA